GGGATCATGACCTGAGCCGAAGGCAGACGCTTAACGACTGAGCCACCCAGGTGCCCCTCCCCTTGCATTTCTTTAGTTAAATTCATTCCTGGGGCTCCTGGGTGGCTCAGTCGTTAAGCGTCTGCCTTCGGCTCAGGTCACGATCCTAGCGTCCTGGGATGAGCCCCGCATCGGGCTCCCTGCTCAGCGGGGAATCCTTCTTCTCCCTCTCCAGCTCCCCCTGCTTGTGTTCCCTCTCTCGCTGTGTCTCTCTCTGTCAAATAAATAAATAAACTTCAAAAAAAATTAATTCCTGAGTAGTTTGTTCCTTTTGATTCTGTTATAAAGTGCGATTATTTCCTTAATTTCGTTTTTGGAATGGTCACTGCTAGTGATTTTTTTATATTTCTGTATATTGATCTTCTATCCTGCAACCTTGCTGAACTTGTTTATTAGTTCCAATAATTTTTGTGAATTCCTTAGGTTTTTTGCAGATACAAGTTTATGTGATCTATGAATAGTTTTACTTCTTCCTTTCCAATCTAGATGGCTTTTTATTTCTTTTTCTTGCCTAACTGACCTGGCTAGAATTTATAACACAATATTAAGTAGAAATGGCAAGCTTGGACATCCTTGGCCTATTCTAGATCTCTGAGGAAGATCATTCAGTCTTCACTGTTAAATATGATGTTAGCTGTGGGTTTTTTATAGATAGCCTTCATCAGATTGAGCAAGTTGTTTGATGATTTTTTTCCTTTATCATGAAAACGTGTTGGATTTTCTCAAATGCTTTTTCTGTATCCATTAAGATGATATCATTTTGTCCTTTATTCTATTGATAATTGATTTTTAGAAGTTAAACTAACCTGGCATTCCTGGGATCTCACTTGATCCTGGTATATAATCCTTTTTATATATTGCTAGACTCAATTTGCTAATATTTCTTTGAGTATCTTTACATCTATATTCATAAGAGATAATGACCTGTTGTTTTCTTTCCTTGTGATGTCTTTTTGGGGGGTATAATGACAATACTAGTAACATCAGAATGCTTTGGGAAGTGTTCCTTCCCCTTCTATTTTTGGAAGATTTATATTAATTCTTCATGTATGATAGAATTCAGTGGTGAAGCCACTTGGACCTGAGCTTCTCTTGGTGGGAAGTTTTTTAATTACTAGTTCTTTCACTTCGTTTGTTATAGATCTATTCTGGTTTTCTATTTCTCCTTGAGTCAGTTTTGGTATTTATTTCTAAGAATTTGGCTATTTTATCCAACTATCTAATTTGTTGGCAAACTCCCAAATATTGGTATCTGTATTAAAATGTTTACTTCCTCAGGGCCCCTGGGTGGCTCAGTCGGGTTAAGCATCTGACTTCGGTTCAGGTCATGATCCCAGGATTCTGGGATCAAGCCCTGAGTTAGTCTCCCTACTCAGTGGGGAGTCTGCTTCTCCCTCTCCCTCTGATGTTCCCCTGCTTGTGCGCTCTCTCTCTCTCTCTGGCTCTCTCTCTCAGATAAATAAATAAAATCTTTTAAAAAAATGTTTACTTCCTCTCTTGGCTCTGTTAACTTAAACAGTGTTAGTGAACTTAACGTTTTATTTTGTGAATTCTAGATCATTTCTCTTGACTTCCCTCTCTGTAAGCTGCGACTTCAGTGTTCCAACTTGCATCAACTGTGCTTTACTTTTTCCATAGACAAGGATGAATATATATTCATTCTACTCTGTTACCATCATTAATTTTATTCATGCCTGGTCTACGAGTTAACTGTAACATTTGAAAACCAGTAACATTTATGTCATAATTAACATACACATATTAGTCACCAAA